CGAAAGCATAACAAAGTGGAGAAAGATGTAAATGTTTATAAGTGCGGTTGTAAGATTTAGAAGATTTTCCAAAAGAATTTTAGTTTTATGTGATTCTTTTGTTCCTCTTCTATTGAGCTTACGATCTCGTCACTTGGGTAAAAAAAAATGTTTTTTGTCATAGAAGTTATTTTTTTAAATAACTTCTGGGGAGAATATCCCAGACAAGAAACAAGGGAACTGATGAGGATTGGTGGCTCTTTCCGAAACCTAGGTATTCCCTGCCTTACCCCCTGGTAAACATTACCATCGTTCTCCACTCATAAACAAACGTTGTTTTTATAAAAACAACAATAATGGGATTTCGCCTGACGATTTTGCAACAACAAAATACTATGGTATCCCAAACAAGCAAGCCAAACTCTGTTCTACTAATAGACACAGGCACGGTCGACGAAGGGTTTTTGTTGTAACAGACAAAACAAACTTACATGGTTATGTTACTTCGTTCAGGTTGAACGAAAGCATAACAAAGTGGAGAAAGATGTAAATGTTTATAAGTGCGGTTGTAAGATTTAGAAGATTTTCCAAAAGAATTTTAGTTTTATGTGATTCTTTTGTTCCTCTTCTATTGAGCTTACGATCTCGTCACTTGGGTAAAAAAATGTTTTTTGTCATAGAAGTTATTTTTTTAAATAACTTCTGGGGAGAATATCCCAGACAAGAAACAAGGGAACTGATGAGGATTGGTGGCTCTTTCCGAAACCTAGGTATTCCCTGCCTTACCCCCTGGTAAACATTACCATCGTTCTCCACTCATAAACAAACGTTGTTTTTATAAAAACAACAATAATGGGATTTCGCCTGACGATTTTGCAACAACAAAATACTATGGTATCCCAAACAAGCAAGCCAAACTCTGTTCTATTAATAGACACAGGCACGGTCGACGAAGGGGTTTTTGTTGTAACAGACAAAACAAACTTACATGGTTATGTTACTTCGTTCAGGTTGAACGAAAGCATAACAAAGTGGAGAAAGATGTAAATGTTTATAAGTGCGGTTGTAAGATTTAGAAGATTTTCCAAAAGAATTTTAGTTTTATGTGATTCTTTTGTTCCTCTTCTATTGAGCTTACGATCTCGTCACTTGGGTAAAAAAAAATGTTTTTTGTCATAGAAGTTATTTTTTTAAATAACTTCTGGGGAGAATATCCCAGACAAGAAACAAGGGAACTGATGAGGATTGGTGGCTCTTTCCGAAACCTAGGTATTCCCTGCCTTACCCCCTGGTAAACATTACCATCGTTCTCCACTCATAAACAAACGTTGTTTTTATAAAAACAACAATAATGGGATTTCGCCTGACGATTTTGCAACAACAAAATACTATGGTATCCCAAACAAGCAAGCCAAACTCTGTTCTATTAATAGACACAGGCACGGTCGACGAAGGGTTTTTGTTGTAACAGACAAAACAAACTTACATGGTTATGTTACTTCGTTCAGGTTGAACGAAAGCATAACAAAGTGGAGAAAGATGTAAATGTTTATAAGTGCGGTTGTAAGATTTAGAAGATTTTCCAAAAGAATTTTAGTTTTATGTGATTCTTTTGTTCCTCTTCTATTGAGCTTACGATCTCGTCACTTGGGTAAAAAAATGTTTTTTGTCATAGAAGTTATTTTTTTAAATAACTTCTGGGGAGAATATCCCAGACAAGAAACAAGGGAACTGATGAGGATTGGTGGCTCTTTCCGAAACCTAGGTATTCCCTGCCTTACCCCCTGGTAAACATTACCATCGTTCTCCACTCATAAACAAACGTTGTTTTTATAAAAACAACAATAATGGGATTTCGCCTGACGATTTTGCAACAACAAAATACTATGGTATCCCAAACAAGCAAGCCAAACTCTGTTCTATTAATAGACACAGGCACGGTCGACGAAGGGTTTTTGTTGTAACAGACAAAACAAACTTACATGGTTATGTTACTTCGTTCAGGTTGAACGAAAGCATAACAAAGTGGAGAAAGATGTAAATGTTTATAAGTGCGGTTGTAAGATTTAGAAGATTTTCCAAAAGAATTTTAGTTTTATGTGATTCTTTTGTTCCTCTTCTATTGAGCTTACGATCTCGTCACTTGGGTAAAAAAATGTTTTTTGTCATAGAAGTTATTTTTTTAAATAACTTCTGGGGAGAATATCCCAGACAAGAAACAAGGGAACTGATGAGGATTGGTGGCTCTTTCCGAAACCTAGGTATTCCCTGCCTTACCCCCTGGTAAACATTACCATCGTTCTCCACTCATAAACAAACGTTGTTTTTATAAAAACAACAATAATGGGATTTCGCCTGACGATTTTGCAACAACAAAATACTATGGTATCCCAAACAAGCAAGCCAAACTCTGTTCTATTAATAGACACAGGCACGGTCGACGAAGGGGTTTTTGTTGTAACAGACAAAACAAACTTACATGGTTATGTTACTTCGTTCAGGTTGAACGAAAGCATAACAAAGTGGAGAAAGATGTAAATGTTTATAAGTGCGGTTGTAAGATTTAGAAGATTTTCCAAAAGAATTTTAGTTTTATGTGATTCTTTTGTTCCTCTTCTATTGAGCTTACGATCTCGTCACTTGGGTAAAAAAAAATGTTTTTTGTCATAGAAGTTATTTTTTTAAATAACTTCTGTGGAGAATATCCCAGACAAGAAACAAGGGAACTGATGAGGATTGGTGGCTCTTTCCGAAACCTAGGTATTCCCTGCCTTACCCCCTGGTAAACATTACCATCGTTCTCCACTCATAAACAAACGTTGTTTTTATAAAAACAACAATAATGGGATTTCGCCTGACGATTTTGCAACAACAAAATACTATGGTATCCCAAACAAGCAAGCCAAACTCTGTTCTATTAATAGACACAGGCACGGTCGACGAAGGGTTTTTGTTGTAACAGACAAAACAAACTTACATGGTTATGTTACTTCGTTCAGGTTGAACGAAAGCATAACAAAGTGGAGAAAGATGTAAATGTTTATAAGTGCGGTTGTAAGATTTAGAAGATTTTCCAAAAGAATTTTAGTTTTATGTGATTCTTTTGTTCCTCTTCTATTGAGCTTACGATCTCGTCACTTGGGTAAAAAAATGTTTTTTGTCATAGAAGTTATTTTTTTAAATAACTTCTGGGGAGAATATCCCAGACAAGAAACAAGGGAACTGATGAGGATTGGTGGCTCTTTCCGAAACCTAGGTATTCCCTGCCTTACCCCCTGGTAAACATTACCATCGTTCTCCACTCATAAACAAACGTTGTTTTTATAAAAACAACAATAATGGGATTTCGCCTGACGATTTTGCAACAACAAAATACTATGGTATCCCAAACAAGCAAGCCAAACTCTGTTCTATTAATAGACACAGGCACGGTCGACGAAGGGGTTTTTGTTGTAACAGACAAAACAAACTTACATGGTTATGTTACTTCGTTCAGGTTGAACGAAAGCATAACAAAGTGGAGAAAGATGTAAATGTTTATAAGTGCGGTTGTAAGATTTAGAAGATTTTCCAAAAGAATTTTAGTTTTATGTGATTCTTTTGTTCCTCTTCTATTGAGCTTACGATCTCGTCACTTGGGTAAAAAAAAATGTTTTTTGTCATAGAAGTTATTTTTTTAAATAACTTCTGGGGAGAATATCCCAGACAAGAAACAAGGGAACTGATGAGGATTGGTGGCTCTTTCCGAAACCTAGGTATTCCCTGCCTTACCCCCTGGTAAACATTACCATCGTTCTCCACTCATAAACAAACGTTGTTTTTATAAAAACAACAATAATGGGATTTCGCCTGACGATTTTGCAACAACAAAATACTATGGTATCCCAAACAAGCAAGCCAAACTCTGTTCTATTAATAGACACAGGCACGGTCGACGAAGGGGTTTTTGTTGTAACAGACAAAACAAACTTACATGGTTATGTTACTTCGTTCAGGTTGAACGAAAGCATAACAAAGTGGAGAAAGATGTAAATGTTTATAAGTGCGGTTGTAAGATTTAGAAGATTTTCCAAAAGAATTTTAGTTTTATGTGATTCTTTTGTTCCTCTTCTATTGAGCTTACGATCTCGTCACTTGGGTAAAAAAATGTTTTTTGTCATAGAAGTTATTTTTTTTAAATAACTTCTGGGGAGAATATCCCAGACAAGAAACAAGGGAACTGATGAGGATTGGTGGCTCTTTCCGAAACCTAGGTATTCCCTGCCTTACCCCCTGGTAAACATTACCATCGTTCTCCACTCATAAACAAACGTTGTTTTTATAAAAACAACAATAATGGGATTTCGCCTGACGATTTTGCAACAACAAAATATTTGGAAAAACTATGGATCGCGTAGCCGGTGTTGGACATACCTCAAGAGAAAAAATCTCAAGCCCCGGCTACATACAAAATTTTCAATGTTTACAAAAACTATGGATCGCGTAGCTGGTGTTGGACATACCACAGAGGAGAAAATCTCAAGCCCCGGCCGAAGGCCAGCTACTTACAACAACTATAATGTTTAGAAAAATTATGGATCGCGTAGCCGGTGTTGGACATAACTTAGAGGAGAAAATCCCAAGCCCTATAATGGGTCCATTTGAGTTTTTATGGGTTTTTCAAAAAGTACTAGTAAAAATATCAATTTTCTTGCATTACTCTGGAACCGGTTCTAGTATTTCCCCCACAAAAAATTACTTTGCCGTAATCAGGTTAAAAATACCTACCTGTGGCCCCTAAGCTCAACTTGCTCCAAATCGATAATTTAGATGAAGCTTTGAAAGCATTTAAGTAACACCATCAAGTTACTGTTCGTTGTTGGCTTTCAAATGACCTCAACATTGCCTATATCGGACTATAACCGAGCTTTAGGTATCCAGACCCCTCCCTGACGAAAATTTTAAATTTAAAAAAATCGGGTAGTTTTTACTAAACTAAAGTTGTTGTATAGATATAAATATATGTACAGAAATATACATACCTATTAGATGAATAGTGGATGTATTAATGGCGTAAGTTAAGGTATCATTTGAGTTTTGCACCAAGCTTAGTGCTAAGTTAAGGCCTCTGTTGATAGCATTGCCTAAACAATGCAAATATACTTCTTTCAACCCCGAATCCAAAAGATCTTTGCAATATTTCTGTTGAGCCTATTATACCGAACGAACAAGAAATAAATAAACTAGAGTTGTTCCAAAGTTGCTATAACTATACCACTACCTACTTTGAAATTAGATTTTGTGGTAATATATATATCGTTCTGTCGTTTCCTTGGCTTCGGAGGGTTTTTCTTCTTTTGGCGAAAGGACTTACTACTGGCCCCAAACTTTTTGTCCATAGTTCCAAACCCCGGTTGCACTTGGTAGATTTTTACCGAATTGGGTAACCTTTTTTAATGTTAGTAACTTGGTAAAATAGTTTTTGCTTCGATAACTTTTTTACTTTTCCGCATCCGACTTTCGCTTATTGATTCACTAAGCTAAGGAAAAAACAAAAACCAAAAGTGAAATGTCGACACCTGCGTGAAGTAAGTAACGTTGCTATCTATCGATAACATTGAATTTCACCAAAACTACAGGGTGACTCAGAACATCAAAATTTCATATTTAATACTTTCTTAACTGTGCGACAGATAAAAAAAATCTGGGCATCAATTCTTGTTCTATGAAAATGTTAAATGAAAAAAAACTATTATAAAGGAAAGAAATGTCAAATGAATAATTGTATAAAGGAAATATTTTTCATTTCTTATTTGCATAGAACAAGAATCCAGCCCCTGGAACCGATTTTAAAACAAAATTTATTTATAAAATTACGAATGAAAAAGTCCATGAAATAAACAAACGTTGTTCGATAGTGAGTTCTCATACCCCAGTTATTAGTTGTGTTTCAGAACCTACAAATTAGTACTAATTCTGCTACAACGCTTTCCCGTACTCCAAAAACTATCAAAACTTGCAGCTCTCTCTCTCTCTCTCTCTCTCTCTCTGCACATTGCATCTGCTTGTTTTAACTACATGAATTTGGCCGAGCATATATGTGCATATTGTAAATTTGACATTTAATTGGCAGGGCTAACAAGGTTGGTGAAATGTATTGATACATTTCAATGTTCGCGCGAGTTACATATACAAATACCTGCCAACCTGATAAATTCGAGGAATTTATTAACGAAATTAATAAAGCCAGAAAATAACCTAAATACCATTTCCGGTATTAAACATTTTCACATTGTACATTTCCAAATGAAAATCAGACCATAAATTATTCCAGGTAATCAGCTCATAATATTTTCTCACTTTAGCAAAACTACAATTTAGCCATGTAAGCACTTTATTTAACAATGTAAGTTAAAATATGATTTTCAATAAAGAAATACGTCAGTCTTAATTTGGCACTGACTTCGAACAAAACTAGTTTGATCTTTTTTTAATAACCGTCTCGTGGACTTACGTTGTTGGCGCAGTCGGTAGGATCCTCAAACAAAAAGTAAGGATTCAGTGATACGATCCTCGTTAACCGAAAAAAATAAATAAATATCGTTTAGTGAATAGGACAATTTGGTGAAGTGAATTTTTAAATATGTCCTTTGATTACACCACCAATAAACAGTGAAGTGTACAAACATATAAAAAAAAGACATCACGAAAATAAAAAATAATTTTTGCGCAGTGAATTTTTATACAAGGAGAAAGACACCGCAAAATAAAATTAAAAAGACAATTTTGTGCAGTGAATTTTTAACAAAAAAAAAAAAACCCAAACAGACTTATTCTTGAGTCTAATCTGATACGATCAAATTACGAAAATTCGGAGACAAAGAAGACAACAGAGTTTTGATAGAAGCAGAATGGCCGCGTTACAGACCCAACAACAACAAAATGAAGCTATGGTACAAGAGCTTGCTAGGCGGGAGCAACAACTAGAGGCTATGAGACAAGCATACATAGAATTCAAAAATAAAGCAGACAACGCAGACAGAGAAGCCTTGAGGAGAACAATAAACAATTTACAAACATTCACCGGAACGGAAGAGGTATCGATAAACCCCTTATTCAGCTGCATAGAATACCTTTTATCAACAATTACCAATGAAGAAACCGAAAAGGAAGCTGTACGAACAATCTTTTATAGGACTATTCAGGGTCAGGCGAAGAACACGATCATTAACATTCCAGAGACTGACAACTGGCAATTGATTAAAGAAACACTCAAACTAAGATACAGACTAGACGTGGAGCCGCATCAACTTTATAGAAGAGTGGGCAACCTGAAAGTCAATACGGTAAGTGAGCTTATGATTGAAGTCCAAGACATTAAATACAAGACGGACGAATTAACTGTATACTATAACGACGATCACTACATCGACCTAAGTAATATGGACGGTATACTAGTCAACACCATAAAGCAAATGACGCAAGGAGTTCTCTTAGATAAAATTTATAAAGAGGTCATTTTATATAACATTTTGAAAATAATGAGTAGTAGAAGATTTGAGAATAGCTGTATTATGCCATGTTTACGTTAGAACTTTTTGTAGGGTTAACATACTTTGAGAGGATTTATTTGAAGTAAAAGTAATGGATATGACAATTTAAATCCAAATCCAGTGGGTTAACCCTCATATATATAAACGTACTGTTAGACCCGAGTACAGAAAATCTAAACATGAAAAATTCAGGAATAATAACTATGACCATAAACATAAAAATGAAAATACAAATAATAATTCTGGACAGTATAGAAAATATAATAATTACAGCGAAAACAATTATAAATATTATTCGGGAAATAATAGAAATAGAAATAATAATAATGTTCTCCAAGTCTGTTTTGGCAGAACAATTTTTCCAATTTTCTTATATTCCGCTGGTTGTCAGGACGGAAATCTGGCTCTGGAAGTATGCAGATACGCGACGTTGAAATGAGCTCAATTCAAGGTTAGGTTACCAGGCTTTAGTTAGAACGTCGATTTAATGTTGTATCGACGAACCTTCTATGTTCGCCGTTATCTGAAATTGAAAAAAATATTAATGTTCTGACCCTGGAATATACATACTTACGTTTTATGAAGAACCTGAGTCACTAGCTGCCGTCAGTGTTCCACCCTCTTGATGCCCGCCATTAAAATCTAAAAACACAAGAAGGAAAGATTACTTTTCGAAATTAATTTGGAACATTTGCAAATTTTTATCCTTGTATTTTTACAATTCGCTGTTATTGGTTGTTAGTTTTTGATTTGAAATATGAATGAAATTGTTTTTCCCCAAATATCTATAATAGATTGAATAAATACGTACACCATTCGACTTAAAAAGATAAAAATGTTATCGGCTTAAGACCTATTAAAAAGTTGGCGGTTAGGACTTGAAAGCGGTAAGTTAAGGGACAAATATGGAACGTCAGAGGTTAGCAGACGTCATGACGAGAAGTGTTCTCGGTGGGAGTCTCCTGGTTGGTCAGCCGCCAGGAGTGCTGTTTCTATAGGAATAAACTAGGTTAAGATAAGTTTGGGATTGAGTGTAGTTTTGGTGAATGCTCTTTTGTTTTCTTTCTTTGACATGTTTCAGGTTCCTTTTACCCAATTTAATTTTTTTGCAAGTACGGTAGGATTTTTTTATTTGTTCAACCGAACATGGGACGCCATTTTGTAACAACCGCGTTCCAAGAAAAACGAATGAAAAATCGCTGTGTTGATCATTAAGTGGCAAAAACCAACCCACAATCCGACGAGTCATAGCCGCGCTAAAAGCCAGCATACCGTCAACGCCACTTAATGATCAACACAGCGACTTTTCATTCGATTTTCTTGGAACACGGTCAGGATGGAAATCTGGCTCTGGAAGCCTCCATACAAAAACGTCAAAAAAAAACTGTGAATGCCAAATATGTCTCCAAATAAAAAAACTTTGAATGCCAAATGAAAGTGGGAGCTTCTACGAGTATTTTGGCATATATAATGTTCTCCAATTCAAGGTTAGGTTGCCAGGCTTTAGTTGGATCGTCGATTTAATGTTGTATCAACGAACTAACAAACGAAACGAAAATTTTTATCCTTGATTTTTTTTCTTGATTCCTTGATTGTTAGTTTTTGATTCGAAATATGAATGAAATTTTTTTCCCCCAATATATAAAATAGATTAAATAAAAGTGTACACCATTGGTCTTAAAGAGATAAAAATGTTATCGGCTTAAGCCAAATTAAAAAGGTGGTAGTTAGGACTAGAAACCGGTAAGTTAAGGGACAAAAATGGAACGTCAGAGGTTAGTAGACGTCATGGCGAGAGGTGTTCTCGGTGGGAGTCTCCTGATTGGTCAGACGCCAGGAGTGCTGTTTCTATAGGAATAAACTAGTTTAAGATATGTTTGATGAATGTGTGCGAGGTTTATGTATTTTTTATTGAAACAAAGGCACATTTATATAAAAAATTAACAAAACTTATATTTGGTTTTGAAAGAAATACAAGAACTGAAAAAAAAGAAGAAGTGATGTAAGTTTACAAGCACAAACATTGTAAAGTGTACACCTACATTACCCCCTTCCTAGTGAAAACGATACAGATTTTTCTTTCGATTTGATAGGGGTGATTTCTTGATTTAAATCAATTTCTGAATGTTCAATTTCTGTAAATGCTGGTTTAAGTCGATCAATTGTGATGTTATCTGTCTTGCTTCCAATTTGAAGAGTAAAATATTTTGGAAATCTCTTCATCACTCTGTAAGGTCTATGAAACTTTTGTTCAAGAGGTTTAAGTACACGATCATTTCTTATCCACACATGGGAACATACATTCAATTCCTTGTTGATAAATATATTTGAACTGCTCTTATTTGAAGTTGTTGCTGGTTTAATTCTAGACATTAATGTTTGAAGATGTAATAGAAGATCATCTGAATCTAGAACGACATTACTTTCGGTGAACATTTGACCAGGAACATGAAGTGTTTTGCCATATACCATTTCGACTGGAGAACAATTAATAGTATCTTTTACCGAAGTTCTTAGCCCAAGCAATACTAAAGGCAAAATCCTTGTCCACTGAGTTTTGTTGTTGCATATCAATGCGGATTTAAGAGTTCTGTGAAGACGTTCAACTAATCCATTCGATTGTGGATGATAAGACGTCGAATGTTTTAATCGAGTTCCCAATAACTTTAATAGATTCCGAAAAGTATTCGATGTGAACTGGCGTTCTCTGTCCGTGTGAACAATATCGGGAGAACCAAAACGAGATACCCAGCCATTTAAGAAACTTTGGGACACAGTTTCAGTTGTAATATTCGGCATTGGTATTGCTTCCATCCATCGGGTAAATCGTTAAATGCAGGTAAGAATATAGCGATGACCATCTGATAGTGGAAATGGGCCAACTATATCTAAGTGCACCTCAGCAAAACGTCGCGATGATAATGGAAATGTCCGGATTGGACTTTTTGTATGGCGAGTTATTTTTGATCGTTGACAATCCTGACAAGATTTTGTCATTGTGCACAATCTCTTTTCATAAAAGGCCAGCAATAACGTTCAGTGACAAGTT